ATGAAGGAACCCAGCTGAGGGGGCAGAGCCAAGTTCATCCCACAGAAACAACCTGCTGAGGATGCCACCTCCAGGATGTTGGCATCTGACACTTGGCACCATGCAGCTGGCTGCCACAGGCCTGCACTTGCATCATCTCTGACCGTCCCACTTCCTTTGCAACATCCCATCAGGTTCAATATTCCAGGAAGCAGAGCGTGGTTGAGCCCAGGTCTGTGCCCGCACAGAGCAGCCAGGAAGCTGGAAAAGGCAGCACCCACTCCCTTTCACTTTTGAGGCAGGTGGGGCCCTCCCTGGCACTGAGCTCAGGATTCCAAAAGCCTGCTTGGTAAGCTGTCCACTACGGCACCCCATTAGTAAAGGAAGCAACGGTGAGACAGGAGGTGTAAAATCACAAGTGAGGTCGAAACATACTGTTAGGGGAACTCCCAGGAGAGATTCTATTTCACTGGGGATCAGAAAATGTTTCGTGAAAGTGGCATTTAAGAAAGGCTTGATGGATCAGATCTTTACTAACAGAAATAAACAGAAAGGGGGTTCCAGGCTGCTCAGGGGAAAGGAATAGCATAACCAAGTTCAATCTGAATGCAAAGGAGATAGCAACTTAATATCTTCCCATTAAATTCTTACACTGTTTAAGTGGGCCGTCATTTATTTCTGTTATTTGCAATGAAGGCTATAGACGGAGTACACTCTCACGTTAAAATACCGTTCCACCCAAATCCCACTGGAGAAAGTATGGATTTTATTTTTAGTTCTGGCTATTTAATTCTTACAGGGACGTTCCGCCCAGAAGTGGGGGTTGCAATGTGGCAGCAATCTGTAAATTGAAATATTTATTCACTGACTCAACATTTACTTAGAGTCTAATGCGTTCCAGGTTCTGAGATCAAGTGCACAAAATGAGGACGTTCAAGGCCCTGCCTTTGTGGTGGTCAGAATAATGCCCCTTCCGGCCCTCCCTGCGCCCTTCCCCCGCCCCACCCCCTGCCCCCCCACACACACACCAAGATGTCTCCATCTCTACCGCCTGTGAATTTGTTACCTTACAGGGCAAAAGGGACTTTACACATACATGAAATTAAGGACCTTGAGGTTGGGAGATAATCCTTGATTATCTGGGGTGAGAAGGCAACCTAACCCCACAGGACAGTGATGGCGAACCTTTTGAGCTTGGCGTGTCAGCATTTAAAACCCTAACTTAACTCTGGTGCCGTGTCACATATAGAAATTTTCTGATATTTGCAACCATAGTAAAACAAAGACTTATATTTTTGATAGTTATTTTATATACTTAAATGTCATTTAACAAAGAAAAATCAACCAAAAAAATGAGTTCGCGTGTCACCTGACACGGGTGTCATAGGTTCGCCATCACTGCCATAGGAGAAAGGCACGTGGATAGATGCAGAGAAGAAAGCAGAAAGAGAAAATGGGTGGCTAATGTGAAAGTGGTGTACGTTACCTAAGCTGTGACTATCAAACCCTTGTCACAGAAAGCTGAGATGTAAGCTAACGAGAACTACAAATAAGAATAAATGAAGCTAACTAGAAATAAAACAGTAAATAGCAATATTTATGGAGTGCTTACAAGGCGCTGTGCCTATGTGACATGTAAAAATGCTGAAAGTTCACATAAACTGCGTCTATGTGCCAAAGTTTTAAAAAATGGTATTTTATTTCTGTAACTGATCTCATTTCACTCTCTCTCAGTAGAGTGTGGAAAAATGCTTACCCTTGCCCATGAAATGCAGTGGGCTCTTTCCCCATCAATTACTCCTCTGAGGACTCAGTCCATTCAAAGTTCAGTCTCAAGGCTGCTTGCTGCGCGGGGCCCACCCTCTGTGCTGCCCAAGCTGCAGAGGCATCTGGGCGAAGGGGAGGGGTGGCACCGGCCTCAGACTCACTCGTCTCCACTGCGTGCTGGTCTTGGGGCACTCGGCGCAGATGTTTGCCAACACGTGGCAATCCTGACTTGACCTGGGCGCGTGTGATCACAAGGCACTGCGCTCTGAGACTCTGTGTCCCTCTGCAGGCCTGGCCGGTAAGCCCCTGGCAGCCACGGCCTGAAGGAACTCGGGCTCGCCCAGCACGCACAGGCTGAGAGTAGAGATGTATGTCTCGGACCCCTCTCTCTGTCCTTACTGCTCTGTCTCTCCTGGGCCACTCCATGCAGCTGAGAAGCAGAGCACCAAGGTGGACATTCTCTGACCTTCCTTTATTTGTCCCTCTTTTCTTTTTTTGTCTGTTTGTTTGTTAATCCTCACCCACGGATATTTTCTCCATTGATTTTTAGAGAGAGTGGAAGAGAGGGAAGGAAGGGAAAGGAAGGGAAGAGGCATCAATGAAAGAGACACATCGCTTGCTGCCTCCCGAACGTGCCCCAACCAGAGCCGGGCATCGAACCTGCAACCCAGGTACGTGCCCTTGACCAGGAATCGAACCCAAGACCCTTCGGTTCTCGAGGCACACGCTAACCACTGAGCCACGCCGGCCAGGGCTCCATCCTTTTCTGTCTATCTGAGGAAGTCCCCGGAGGTGTCTAGGGCTGGGTACTTACCAGAGACACAGCAGGGCCCTCTCCTAGTCGCATTCCTTAGGAGTCTCCTCCTTCCTCCAGGGTGGAAGGTTTTCTTCCCTGGTCCAGCAGAAATTCCCTTAGCTCCACCTTTAACCTAGACAGCTTGCCAAACTTTAGACAGACATCCTGACTCTACGCCTCACCTCCCTTCTCTTAGAATATGTGCTTTAGAGAATTTTTACAGATGGCCCTAGACTTCGGATGATCCCACTTAAGGTTTGTCAACGTTTATGACGCAAAAGCAATAGGCATCCAGCAGAAATGGGTGTGGCTAAGCTATCATGTCCTGAACCTTAGGAGTATCTTTTACTTAGAACAGTGGTTCTCAACCTTCCTACTGCCGCGACCCTTTCATACAGTTCCTCATGTTGTGGTGACCCCCAACCATAAAATTATTTTCGTTGCTACTTCATAGCTGTAATGTTGCTACTGTTATGAATCGTCATGTAAATATCTGATATGCAGGATGTATTTTCATTGTTACCAATTGAACATAATTAAAGCATAGTGATTAATCACAAAAACAATATGTAATTATATATGTGTTTTCCAATGGTCTTAGGCCAGTGGTCGGCAAACCGTGGCTCGTGAGCCACATGCGGCTCTTTGGCCCCTTGAGTGTGGCTCTTCCACAAAATACCACGTGCGGGTGCGCATGTACAGTGCGATTGAAACTTCGTGGCCCATGCACAGAAGTCTGTTTTTGGCCTGGGCGAGTCTATTTTGAAGCAGTGGCGTTAGAAGAAGTGGGGGTACATTCGATGAGGTCGACCCCTCAGATTGAGGACGTTTTTAGCAAAGGCCAGTTTAGGAGTACCCTCATTAAGTAAATAACAATGTACCTACCTATATAGTTTAAGTTTAAAAAATTTGGCTCTCAAAAGAAATGTCAGTCGTTGTACTGTTGATATTTGGCTTTGTTGACTAATGAGTTAGCCGACCACTGGTCTTAGGCGACCCCTATGAAAGGGTCGTTGAACCCCCAAAGGGGTCGCGACCCACAGGTTGAGAACCGTTGACTCAGGATATTTTCAACTTAGGAAGTATTTATCAGGACACAACCCCATCCTGAGACAAGGAGGTTCTGTAAGTCCCTTCCCTGCCCGGTTGAGATGTGAATCTTTTTTAACGCCTCTGGCCAGTTTACAGCCCAGGGGTGTCTTCCTCAAGGCCCTGGAGCCATCATCCCTTTGAAACATAATCCTCGAGGGAGCGAGCACCCTTCCTCCCGGTCTCTGCCAGGGTAGCAGCCTAACTTCCTGGGTGCCTGGCTCCTAGTGGTAAAACCACCTCCTGTCATAAAGGCTTCAGAAACTTCCTTTTCCTTTGGGCGTAACCAGGGGGCACACAGGGTCAGAGCCTGTACGGACTGACTCACGGCCGGGCGCCTCCTGCAGACCCGATGCCCACGAGGCCTTGCCCCTGGTTTCCAGCTTCTCCTGCTACAAAGGAAAACTGGGTCCAAGCAACCCGAGCACAGCCGCGGGTCCTGCCACCTCCTCCCATTTGCTTCCACCTGCCCTGCCCGCCGTTCAGTCCAGCTGCAACAGCGGTAGCATCTCATCTTCCCCAGCACTCGGCAGACTTTCCAGAGAACCAGCCACACTCGGTATAGTCACCTTCTCAGGTCACATACATGGAACTTCATTATACAGCTACAGCGGCGGGAGAAATGGCATCAACATGCCAGGATTCCCCTCCTGGGGGAACAAGAGGCTGCCTTGCAGGTGGGGGGTAATCACCAGCTATTATTTCCTTAGGAAGGTCACGGGGTGGCGCGAAGATGGAGTGGAGCGGGGAGACGGAGCGGGAGGTGAGTTATAAACCGCGGGAGAGGCAGGAGCAGGCAGGGGACCCCGGAGGCAAGTGGCTGCGCTGTGCACGCCTCGCTGAGACCCGCCCGCACGGGAAGACCAACCTCCCACCCCGCCACCCGGATCCCCGCAGCGCTTGTGAACTCTGCGGCCCGAATTCCGACACGTCATTATCTTTCATTTTATTCCCTAATCGTTTCCTGTAGCACACCACGCGGGTCGCCTTAGTTAAAACGCTACAGTAAACGCTTATGTCACTGAAACGGCCTGTAAAGTCCTCCAGGGCCAGAGGATGCTCTGGGCTGCACCGGGAAGGCGGCCCAGCCCGCGGATGGCCGCACGGGAAGGAGTGATTGTTCACTCTCTCTGGGTGATTGATTCGCTCTCTCTGGGTGATTGATTCGCTCTCCCTGGCTGATCTCAGGGTGTCCGCCTCGGGGACCCCGCACACCCCGCAGGAGGCTATCCGCACAGAGAAAAGTCACCCGCGGCTGTTATACCCGCTTCGACCGCCGGAGGGCGCGTCTCCCCGGGTTCCCGAACACTCGGCGTTCAGACCCAGCGAACGAGAGGTGACGTATTTAGACCCTCCGCCGCCGCCGTAGCCGGGACTGTAAACAGGAAGTGGGACTCGGGCTGAGCCTCGGCGTTCGGGGAAGAGAACCAGCGGTTTAGCGGAGACGCCTCCGGCCGCCGCAGCGGGCGTGCGCTTCAGGGGCCGGCGCCTCGTCCCCACTTCTGTGCCTCCCTCGCCGCCCCGCTCGGGTGGAGGTGTTCCGTCCCGCGCCGGAGCCCACCTTTCTCCCGAAGCGTCACCAGGGCCATGGCCGAGTACTCCTACGTCAAGTCCACCAAACTGGTGCTCAAGGGAACCAAGGCCAAGAGGTAGGTAAGGCCGGACGATGGCGAGGCAGACCCCTCTCTGTCCGAACAGAGTCTCCTGGAGGCCGGGACCGCTGTCAGTCATTGAGGCCCCCAGCCGGGCCCGGCGCCGGGAGGGCGGAGGCGGGGAGACGGGAGCCAGACGCCCCGCGAGGGGAGGGGGCGGAGGGCGGGGCCGGCGGCCCTGCAGCCTCACGTGTGGCCCATCCCCACCCCTACTCCTCCCCGGGCAGTCTGGGGGCTCAGGTCACAGCCCCCTACCTTCGGGATTGTTACTTTCACCGCCGCCTCCCTCCACCCTGTTTGGATAGGGATAGGGGCTCCAGTAGGAACTCCACCAATGACCGGTTTTGTGATTTGTGGCAAGTGCGTTAATATCTCTGAGCGAATCTTAATCCACTCGAGAGGGGTTAGTGACACTCTAAAATGATTGTCATGAGGATGAAGGAGGAGGACACGTGCAGGAAATCCTGTAATGCGAGCCTCCCGTGCAGGCGGAGGGCGGAGGGCGGAGGGTGATGGAGATTTTAGGAAAAGGTACCTGCCGGCTCCCATCTCCACCTCTTTAACTGGTAGGTTTGCTGGGCTGACTGTCTGACACACGGTAGCGTTTCCTCCTGGTCGCGGAGATTTAAAACCCAGTTTTGGATTCTCTTGGGTGAGATGGGAAGAAAGTGTCCGGGAGCAGCCGAAGCCGCTGCCCTGGGATAGGTCTGCAGCTTTTCCTGTGTGAATTCCGGACGGAGGGGAGACTTCGCTTCTGAAAATGTACTTTATCATGAAAACGCAAACAAATCCTATATAAGAAAAGCCTACTATGCCAAGTGTCCAGTCGTCCGTTCAACCAATCAGATCATAATATGCTACTGATATGCTAAGGCCACTGGCTCGCTGTGATGTGCGCTGACCAGAGGGCAGATGCTCTACACGGGAGCTGCACCAGGGGAGCACCACTCAGCCAGAAGCAAGGCTCAAGGCTGGCAAGCACAGCTGCGGTGGCAGGAGCCTCTCCCACCTTCGCAGCAGCGCTAAGGATATCAGACTGACAGCTTAGGCCTACTCCCCTGGGAAGCAGGCTGAAGTCGTCAGTCGGACATCTCCCGAGGGCTCCTGGACTGCCAGAGGGCGCAGGCCGGGCTGAGGGACCCCCTCCAAGTGCATGAATTTCGTGCACTGGGCCTCTAGTGTCTTATAATGATCGTAACTACTGAGCATAATTAACACCTATGTAGCACTTTTTATGTGCCAAGAACTGTTGTAAACACTGCATATTAACTTTTTAAAATCGCCCCTGGGTTTTTTAAATTATTGCAATATAATTCCCATAAGATTCAATATTTTAACGCACAGTTCAGTGGGGTTTTTTTGGATATTCACAAGGTTCACCCCTATCTAGTTGCTATACATTTTCATCACCTCAAAAGGAAACCCCTTACCCATTAAGCGTTCACTCCTCCTGGTCTCCCTTCCTGTCCCTGGCAGTCACTGACCTGCTTCCTGTCTCTATGGATTGGCCTTTTCTGAATAGTTCACGTAAATGTAGTCATACAATATGTAGCCTTTTGTATCTGGCTTTTAGCAAAACTTTCTCGAGGTCCATCTGTGTTGTAGCATGTATCAGTACTCATTCCTTTTATAGCTGAATAATATTCCATTGTGAATGTAGTATCTATGAATATGACACATTTTGTTTATCCATTCAACAGTTGATGGACATTTGGGTTTTTTCACTTCTTGGCTATTATGAATAATAGTGCTGCAAATATTCTTATTTAATGAAAATGAGAACAGAACCACCAAAATCTGTGGGTCACAGGGAAGCAGTTCTAGAGGGAAATTTATAGCGTTGCATGCCTATCTCGAGAAACAAGAAAAGTGCAAACTCGATCACTAACTCTGCATGATGTTGCAGAAGTGAAGGGAACCAGGTTTGCTAAAGTAATTGTGGTGATAGAAATGTTTTAGCCTCAGAAGCTACTGAGGTGGTTCATTCTATCCTAGTACAGTGTAAACAAGAAAGAAAGAGAAAGAGAGGGAGGGAGGGGAGGGAGGGGGGGAAGAAACAAGAGAAAGCCCCAGTAAATGATCTAACTTTACACCAAAGAAACTTGAAAAAGAACAAAGCCCAGAGTAGAAGGAAATAATAAAGATCAGAGTAGAAGTAAATATCCTTATACAGTTATGAACATATGTTTTCATTCCTCATGGGTCTGTACCTAGGAGTAGATTTTTTAGGTCATATGGTAACTCTGTGTTTAACTTTTAAAGGAACCCCAAACTAATCTCCAAAGTGGCAGTGCCATTTTACATTTTCACCAGCAACACAAGAAAGCACATATTAACTCTCAGTCCTCACAATAACCTTAAGAGTTGGGTCAAATTATTATCTTTATTTTAAATGTTGGGAAACTGACTCAGTCAAATTTGCCAAAATCACAGAGCTCGGCAGTGATATAATCAGCATTTAAGAATCAGGCGGCTGGCTCCCGAGTGTGCTCTTAACAGTAACACTATATATTCATGATCAGAAATAAGAGCCATGTCGATGTAAATTAATAATTATAAACCAATGTACAGCTCAAAAGATTCTTCTGAGATTCCACCTTGTGATATTTAAAATGCAAATCAGTATGCCTAAACTCATCTATACAAATTATCTCCTGTAGTAAGAAGAAAAAGAGCAAAGAGAAGAAGAGAAAAAGAGAAGATGATGAAGAAACCCAACTTGATATTGTTGGTAAGTTTTCTAAATTCCGAGAAAAGTTAGCACTGGTTGGGATCCCTTTAAAAATATCTTCCTACTTAGAGATAAATAGTAAAAAGAAAGTAGGAGCAGTTTATGATCTATTCATATTTATCTCAAAGTGCTCAAGTATTATTTATGGTTGTAGATTTATTCTCCAGCACAGTAGGTGTCATCGATGCCTTTCCGTCATTATCAGGTGAAAGCACAGGAGAGAGGAAACAGCTCTGATTTAATAGACACCATTAGACTACTTTTAATGGCCCAGATTCTGATACATTATTTTCAAGTCCTCATATAAATATTTAACCAAATATATTTTACAGAGTATAGTAAGTCCTAACTTAAAGTTGTCGGTAGGTTCTTGGAAACTGAACTCTAAGTGAAATGATGTATGGTATAATGAAACCAGTTTACCATAGCTGATTGATATAAACGAGAGTTAAGTTCCTTCAGCATATTTTTAGTCATAAAAACATCACCAAACTTCTACATAAAGACCCAGAATACTCTAATATTAAACATATGATAAATACGAGCTATACATACACTTAAGAAAGATGAATATGAACAAGTAAGAGCCTTCTTTTCCAACCTCCTTATTTCAGTTCGGAGTTGCCAGTGGCCAGAGTCTATCCCTGAAGCTCAGGATACAAGGCAGGCACCAGCCCTGGACAGCACGTCCTTCCATCGCAGGCACCCTCCCACACCCTCCCACACTCACTCAGACCGGGACAGTTGAGACACACCGGTTCACCTCACATCGTTGGGATGTGGGTGGAAACCTCAGTACCCAGAGAAAGCTCACACAGATGTGGGGAGAATGTGCAGACTTCACACACACTGGCCCCAGCTGGGAATCGATTTTTTTTTCTCATCAACTTTAAACGTCACATCATTGAACAAAACAATGTTACTCAATGACATTGCTTATTTTCTTAGAACATGTATGCATTTTAAACTAGTGACTTGTATATCCCTAAAAGAAATATATTCACAGTGAAAATAATTACTTTGTATACAGTGAAGTTAATGAAAACCTTAATTACACATCAAAATAGCCTATAAATGGCAACAGAAATAAATTGGCCCAAATATATTTAACTAGCCTGTTTTCCAGTTAATTCTTTTTTTTTTTTTCTTTAAATATGGAACGCTTCACGAATTTGCGTGTCATCCTTGCGCAGGGGCCATGCTAATATTCTCTGTATCGTTCCAATTTTAGTATATGTGCTGCCGAAGCGAGCACCCAGTTAATTCTTCCATCCTTTCCACACCTATACTTTAAAGCAGTTCTTTCTTTTAAAACTTGGCAGGTTGCATTTTGAAACTTCATAAGTTATGGTTCCTTTACATTTTATATGATACGGTATAAAGCTAATATTCCAGAAAAAATCTCACATTTTTTTGAAATAGCAAATCAACAATTCTACAATTAAGATACATATTTGGGTAGATAACTAGGTGTAGAATATCTAAGGGTAGGTGAATATTTAGCTATATGAGTTAAATGATAGGTTATCCTTTAAACTCATCTATATAAATTATCTCCTGTAGTAAGAAAAAAGAGCAAAGGATACGTGAATATTTAACTATATAAAAAGCTGCTACAAATTTTCTAAAGTGCCTGTACCACCTTACCCTCCCACCAAGAAAGTATTAAAATTCTATTCTTACTCTTTTCTCTCAGTTTGTGGTTTTACTTTTCATTTTCTTAACTGTTTTTGGATAAGTGTAAGTTTGTGATTTTTATAAAACCTAATTCTTTTCTATTATGACAGTCACCTTATTTCTCCAGTCTAAGAAGTCCTTGTTTACCCCAAGGTCACAAAGATATTCTTCTATATTTCCTTTACAGGCTTCATAGTTTGGGGTCTTACATTAGATCTATGACCCATCTCAAATTAATTTTGGGTATGGTGTGAGGTAAGGATCCGGGTTTGGGGGTATGATTTTCCAGGTTTGTATCCAGTTGTTTCAGCAGCACTATTGAATAGACTTTCCTTTCCCCATTAAACTGCTTTGGTATCTTTGTCAAAAATTAATTGATTTTATATGTCTTGGTCTAGTTCTAGATTCTGTTCTATCAAGTTGTGGGTTGTTTCTATTGTTTCACGGATATATTTGTCTTGATTACTATCACTTAACCAAGTTTTAAAATCAGGTGATACGAGTCTCCCAACTTTGCACTTCTTTTTCAAGATTGTTTTGATTATTCTAGATCCTTTACATTTACATGTAATTTTAAAATCAGTTTATCACTTTCTACAGTAAAGCCTGTTGGATTTTCAGGAGAATTGTATTGAATATGGATCATTTGGGGAGACTCAACATCTTAATAACATTGACTCTCAGTAATATGCAGTTTTAGTGTAGCAGTCATCCATGTCTTTTTTTATATCCTTAAATATTTCATAACTTTACACTATTATAAATAGAATTTTAATTTTTATTTTTCAATTGTATATAGATATGTAATTGATTCCTATATATTGAGCTTGTAGTCTGAGACATTACTAAATTAATGGATTGTATCATTGCCAATGTCCTGGTTTTGATGTTGTGCTATCAGTAGCAAAGTTATGCAAGAGGTTCCCATTGGGAGAAAGTGAGTAAAGGGTATATGAGATTTCTTTCTATTATTTCTGAGAACTGCAAAATAATGTTTTTAAAAAGTAAGTTATAACAATAGCAATAAGTAAGAACCTTGTGTCAAATCTAAAATACAAATTTAGAATATTGATTTTATTTTTTAGGAATCTGGTGGACAGTAACAAACTTTGGTGAAATTTCGGGAACCATAGCTATTGAAATGGATAAAGGAACCTACATACATGCACTTGACAATGGACTTTTTACACTGGGAGCTCCACATAAAGAAGGTTTGTGTCTGATAGAAGTGATTAAAAGGAAGGCCACGAAAGTATACATTTTATTGCGTTTGTTCACTTAGGCCAGCATCTAACTAATCCCAAGCATATTCCAAAGGAATGAATCTATTGCATTTGACTCTTCCACTTTTTTCTTTCCTCAACATTTACCTCTTATTGGCAACTCCTTCTTTCTAATATAAAAATTATAAAACATTTTGTATAGTTCCAGAAGGATATCTATGGAAGTCAAAAACAACATGAATAACTGAAATGATATGTAGAAAGAAAAAGAAAATGTGGCTGAGTCAAAGTTTTGAATTCCTTTATTCTCCGACCTTTTGCTGAAACTAACCTGGAACACTGTAAACATTCCCTTTTAGCTCATCAGAGAAAGCATTGAGATATGAGGTAATTAGGAAATAAAAAGCAGTGACTTTTAGTCTGAATGGCCATCGTTTGAATTAATTAAAGCATTTAATTTTTTAATTATGGCATGGTTTGTCCATGTACTGACTGCATTTTAAAACACAGAGAAAATATCTTGGAAGTGACTAAATAAGCATCATGCTGACCTATCATATTAAGCATGTAAAACGAATATGGCATTTATGAGAAGATAAAGTAGATCTTGGTAATATAAATACTGCATTATAATTACATCATAATGTAATATTTGTATATTTAATTTTTATATATTTTTTTCATTGATTTCAGAGGAAGGGAGAGGGAGTGAGAGATAGAGACATCAATGATGAGAGAGAATCATTGATTGGCTGCCTTTTGCATGCCCCGCACGGGATCGAGCTCACAACCTGGGCTTGTGTTCTGACTGGGAATTGAACCGTGACCTCCTGGCTCATAGGTCAGCGCTCAACCACTGGGCTATGCCAGCCAGACTACATTAATTTTAGAAGAAAAATACATTTTTTTTAAAAAACTGTAGACTATCTTTACATGTATATTTATAACAAATGTCAAATTTATTTCAAAATGTTTTTTCTCCTGTAGTGGATGAAGGCCCTAGTCCTCCGGAGCAGTTTACAGCTGTCAAATTGTCTGATTCCAGGTAAGCTTGAGTTGAACTATAATTAATCTTTTATTATTTTAATTTAATTTATTGAAGTTTTTAAATATACATAAGCCCACAGAGTAACTTTCACTTTAAAAAGCAAAACAATATTTTTGGAAAGTGTATTTTGTGACATTTAATAAAATATAACATTATTTATATATCCAGTTAATATGTAGGTGTTATTAAATTACATTTTCAATAACTCCATCTTTAAAAGAGAAAAGCCCCAGATAAAAGCATACATTATGATTTCTAGCAATATATAATACTATGCTGGAAAAAATGAAAATGTTACCAGTGGTCGGCAAACTGCGGCTCGGCAAACCGCGGCTCGTGAGCCACATGCGGCTCTTTGGCCCCTTGAGTGTGGCTCTTCACAAAATACCGGCTCTTCCACAAAATACCGACTTCTGCGCATGGGCCACGAAGTTTCAATCGCACTGTATGTGCACACCCACACGTGGTATTTTGTGGAAGAGCCACACTCAAGGGGCCAAAGAGCCGCATGTGGCTCGCAAGCTGCGGTTTGCCGACCACAGTTATAGACCAAGTAAGATAGATTAGAAAAATCCTGTGACGAAAACAGACCTAAGACTGTTTGTTATTACTATGATATTTAAACTCACTGGTTAGCAATCAAGAAACAAATAGGAAGGTAGAATAAAGGAATATTGTTGAAACCAGCAGAGAAGGTTACATAGGCATAAAAACCAAAAGGACATTTTGCTCACTATTTTTACAATCATTTTATAAACTGACCTTTTTTTATTCTCAAAATGCAAAAGTAAAGAATGATGCTTTGTGTAGTAGAACAACTAAATTTCATATTCTAGTAATTGGCTACATCAAGACAATAATGACTTGTGTTATATTATCATTAACCTATACATGAGTATAAAGTCATCACGGGATTGGTAAGCTAAAAATATAGAAATCCTATTTTTTCTTTAAAAAACAAATTAAGATGATTATTTCTATACTTTCTTTGAATGGCTAACAAGTACACCAGACTTTTAAAGACTAAAAGTGGAAGAAGAAAAATCAAAAAACACAAACTTCTTTATATATTTTAAGAATAAATAATTTGGAAAATATTTGCTATATAATGTATAAGCCAGGGGTGGGCAACCCCTGGCACGCGTGCCAAACATGGCACGCCAGTAACTTTTGCTGGCATGCGAAACCCTCTCTATAATCTTCTATTTACAATTTTTTTCTTAATATCGACTTTATTATTTTTCAGATAAATTTAGTGTAGGTGCATCTTAGATAAATAAATAATTTTACATAACAAGTTATCTTAAAGACCATAGACATGGATTGAAGAGAGAGGAGAAGAGCAATTTCTATGCCTCTGCCTTAACTCTCTCTGCCTTCCTAGATCCAACCAGTGTTTTGGTTTCATCCACATATGCTTGTGAATCTTTGTTCTCAGAGATGAATTTTGTTAAGTCTCATAATAGGAGTAGCCTGACGGATGAAAGTAGTAGCTCGTGCATATCTCTGAAGGTCACGAAATATAAACCTGATGTAAAATCTCTGTCATCAGTGATGCAGCAGCAAAAGTCCCACTGATAATATCAAACGGAGTCATAAAGTTTTCTGTCAGACTGTCAGTGTACATGTATACGTTAAAAAATAAATGTATTTTTCATCATCATATACTGCGTTCTTGTCGCTCGAATGAATTTTATTATTTCTTTAAGGTTCTTCACATATGTACACCTTAAGAGATATCAAGTAGACGTAACATGTTCTCAAAAAATTAGGGTTGGCACACAGAAGAATTTTGAGTCAGATTTTGCTGGTTTTGGCACGCACTCACAAAAAGGTTGCCCACCCTGATATAAGCTATAATGCTTGTAATAAAAGTAGAATATGACATTGTATGTACAGAACTAACTTTCCTATATGGCAGTCATTAATCATTTGTGACTTTTGAATATTTGAACTAGAGTCTGAATTTTTATGTACATACACATTATTTTTATGTTCTATATTTAATTTTCTTTCTCTCAGTTTTTAACATCTATCTTGTTTATTAATCTGAAGAATTGCCCTAAAATCTGGCTATGGAAAATACCTTGGTATAAATTCAGATGGACTTGTTGTTGGGCGTTCAGATGCGATTGGACCAAGAGAACAATGGGAACCAGTCTTTCAAGATGTAAGTGCTATTAATGTTTATAGAAAGCTTCTTGTCAATGTAAGGAATCTCTTTTAAGGATAAATCAACAATTTTATGCACAGAAAATAATGAGCAGCACTATTTATAATAGTAGAAAAATAAACTTTAAAACATCTATAATAGAACATTATATATCCATTAAAGTAGTATATTTGAAGAAGAATGAATTTGGAAAATGTTTTCTATATAGTAGTAATATATAAAATATAATGCTTGCGATAAAAAGCAGAATATAAAGTTACGTATATATATAGAATTACATTGTCCAAAAGGTAGCCACTAGCCACATGTTTCCATGATGATAAATTAGCCAAGCACCCCCCCAAAAAGAGAGAATTACTTAGACTTGTTCCTCCTTGCCCTGAATTAAAACCTCTGGATCACTAACTTTTTCACTCCAATGAGAAAACATTTTCCCATTGCACATTACAGCCTAGTACACACGTGTATAACTGAAACAAGAGTTGTACTTGGCAGTACTTATTTATCTACATGCTTGCACTCTGATCTTTTCTATTCTACCTCTGTTTCTGTCTCTTTTTATTTTTTCCTCAGTACTGGTCAGGACCCACTAAATTCAGTTCATGAACTACTAATGGGTTACAGCCCCTTGTAGATAGATGATCCTACCAATATACTGAGATGCTCATAATAAAAATTGTATCAACAGAAAAGGCTGTTATATAAGGTCAGGATGATGAGTCAGATACTAATGCTCATACAGAACTTAAGGGGCATTCATCTCACTTTATTTGGGGGAAAGATATAAAGTTTTTAAATTTTAAAGAGAGACTTAAAAGTCCCTGATATAACAAATAAAACTGGATTGCAGAAAGTAACTAAAAGATCAGCAGTACAGGTTTAAATCACCTGAGAATATACAGCCATATCCAAGCTCACCCAGGGTCATCCAGATGACAGAAAACCCAGCCCTTGCCCAGCCAGCGTGGCTCAGTGGTTGAGCATCGACCTATGAACCAAGAGGTCACAGTTCAAATCCCGGTCAGGGCACATACTCAGATTTTGGGCTCGATCACCAGTGTGGGGCATACAGGAGGCAGGCAATCAGTAATTCTCTCTCATCATTGAGGTTTCCATCTCTCTCTCTGTTCCTTTCTGAAATCAAAAATATATTAAAGAAAAAAGAAAACCCAGCCCTTGTCATCTTGAGTAAAAAATTAGATCCATGTTATTAGCACTTTCATAACTGGATATAAGGATATTAATACATTTTTGTAATTACTATGTTTGTGGATATTTTGTTTGATGTTTAAGGTACTCATTTTTTTAAAAGAATCAACTATATACAAGTTATGATTAAACCTTATAATATGTAAGGAAATTTAATCAAATTTATAATCTTGGTTCAGATACACAAGAAAATTAGTTTTCAAAGTTTTGTTTATCAGAATCAGATAATACATTGAGAAATAAACAATGAAAAAGAATAGGAATATTTCTTTCCATGCACAAAGGTCTCCCTGACGTTGATTCTTAAAGTTCCGAACAGTAAACTCAAAGACCCCAAAAGCTAGCTTTTGTATGATACGATCTTATGGAGAAAAATTTTACTTAAAGCACAACTGTTTGAGTAAATTATTGTTATAATTTTTATTGTGTTTAAAGCTATTTTTTTCAAACTCAACTAAATTAGTAATATCCTCAATAGATCTTTTAGATCAAAGGAAATAATTCTATTTGATCTAGTTAGAATTTAGTCTTACTAATAGAATATACTAGAAATATTTATTGTGGTTTTCTTTAAATAATTAGATTATAGGTGGTTTTAGTTTTCTGTATTTTTTTTTCCAGGTTTTCTCCAAATTCTTTTTCCTGATTCCTTTTGCAGATATTCTCGTAACTATTTTTTATTGTTATTTTATTTAGGGGAAAATGGCTTTATTGGCCTCAAATAGCTGCTTTATCAGATGCAATGAAGCAGGTGATATAGAAGCAAAAAGTAAAACAGCAGGAGAAGAAGAAATGATAAAGGTAATCATGACATTTTTCAATAGATTAATACATGTCATATATGATACGACTACATCTCTTTAAGATGTTGAAAAGTAAAAAAATAAAATGTTGAAAAGTTATTTACTCTCACTTAAAAGACTTATTTCATTGCTTTTTATACTGTGCTCCAAATAAGCTTTGTTTTTAGTTATAAATCCCATAACCGATAGCGTGTTTGCACATTGTGGAATATAAATTACTGTATAAGCTCCCTTGCTATTATCTCCATGTATTAGTATCTTTTTCTGAGTACATCCACGTTTTTAGCCCTATCTTTTTTTTCCTTATCTGCATTTTTTTTTAATCCTCATCCAAGGATACGCTTACTGATTTGAAAGAGAGAGAATATTGATTAGTTGCTTCTTGTATAAGCCACACTGGGGATCAAACCCACAACCTAGGTATGTGCCCTGATGGGAAATCAAACCCAAGACCTTCTTGGTGCATCAGATGATGTTCCAACTGCTAAGCCAGCTGGCCAGGCTAAAACTTAATATTTTAAATAAATAAATATGAGCACATGATTCCAAAATTTTCAAATACAAGCATATATAAACATACGTCTCCCACCCTTCTACAGCAAGCCTGTCAAACTCGCAGCCTGCAGGCCGCATGCCTCATTTATTTGGTCTGTATTAGCCTTTGAGTTTGACATGCTTGTTCTACAGCCTTCTAGAGTTTCTGAATAAAAATATAAATGTTTGTAATTTTCTACTTTTTTACACTAAAGTTAGCCTTCTTTATACATTGGTTTACACACTGATTTTTTTTTTTCTTTCTTAACATTGTATTTTGGAGCTTTGCCCTTATCATTACATTGAAAGTTTTCCCTCTCCTTTTGGTTTTTCTTCTTCCTCTCTCTCATTTTTTAATAGCTACATAATATTCTATTTTAGGGGTATACCATAATTGATTTCATCAGTTCTATACAAATGGAAATTTAGGTTATTTCCAGTCTTTTGCTGTTATAAGGAGTGCTGCAGCACATAACTTTGAATGTGCATCATTTTGTGGGTGTGCGAGTGTATCCGAGGGTAAGCTCCCAGAAGCATAGTTACAGGGTCAAGGGTTATAAACCTTTACAGTTGTTTACATACTGCCAAGTAACCTCTATAGGGGTTGTACTGACCTACACTCCCACCAACATGTAGGAGAAGGTTACTAGGTTGTTTGAGTTGTCTCATACTTGATCATCCGTGTTGCTAGTCACTGTATAAAATATAAAAGTATTAACAGAATTTTCAGAGCCCTTGCCCTTAAATTCTGGATCTTTTGATGAATACGTAAAAGTCTTTACACGCATCTATCAAGTATCTGTACGTGCTTTGTGTTAAACTCCATGTTATATATTTGATTTTACTTTTTAAATGTTCTTGGCTTTCATAATACTCTGTTTTAGTCTTTCAGTATTTTTTTCACTTTGAAAATATCACTTACCTTTTTTTTTTTTTTTAATATATTGATATTTTACAGAGAGGCAAGAAGAGGGATAGAGAGTTAGAAACATCGATCAGCTGCCTCCTGCACACCCCCCACTGGGGATGTGCCCGCAGCCAAGGTACATGCCCTTGACCGGAATCGAACCTGGGACCCTTCAGTCCGCAGGCGGACGCTCTATCCACTGAGCCAAACCGGTCAGGGCATCACTTACCTTTTAAAGCAAGAATAACACCAGTAGCTCTTCACTTCATTATTTGGAGTTGATTGGTGGAGAAAGAAATACCACTCTACACAGCACAAAAAATTAGTAATTTCAGAATATTTCTCAAAATTTCATCAAAAGGTATTTTCTCCACCAAAATCTCAAATAATTTTCATCTAAAACTTAGATCTTAATTGCTGTATCTGTCTCTGTTCATTTATGGCAATGGATAGTAAGTGTCAGTCAGAACTTAAGAGATTATAAGAAGTATTTAAAGGGGTAGATTCCGGTCAGATAAAAACAAATTGTGTTAAGTTAAAAGTTTGGATGTATTTGGTAATAGCCTATGCAAAGTAAAATACTACTATCTTAAGCGTTCAATGTTATGAAATACACACTATCTGCTGGGATAACTAGGTCCTCCTGTGTTCACTTTGAGGCCAAAATTAAATTACTGCCTAGTTGTTTAGCAAAATCTGATCTGCAAAATGTTTTTCAAGTAATTTTCTCTTTAGTGTTTCTGATGCAAGGTTCTAGAGAAACATATAATAGCAATGACTTATATAAATTATATATGTAAATAAAAACAATATCTAGGACCTGTCTTTTTCTGAAGCTAATTGCTAAGTTAATGGTTTCCTTCTTTTGCATAAGAAATCACCTAGAATGTTCTTGTGTGATAAGAGGGAAAGGGGGAAGATGAATGTGTAACTTACTGGGTTCTCATTTCCAATATCCAGATTAGATCCTGTGCTGAAAGAGAAACTAAGAAAAAAGATGACATCCCAGAGGAAGACAAAGGAAATGTTAAACAGTGTGAAATCAATTACGTGTATGTAGTTTTTTCCTTTTAGACCTACAGATCTGACAATGAAGTGCTTCTCAAGGGGCCTAAAATAAAATACCCTGAAGGACAGGAAGAGGCAGCATAATGTAAACTCCAGGACAAGCACTGAGCTCAATGCTTTTCTTTCTCACGTCCTTCAGTTTTCCTAATTATCCTTCTAGCTTCCAAAGCTAAGTCACCTGGCCTCGTGTGTCCTCCCTGTTAATTAATAGAATGGCTGTACCGTGTCAGTACAGACTGGCAACCCTACGCTGTTCCATAGCCAGGACATGGACTCCAGCCCGCATTCCATAGTGGAGGTGAGGCGTGTAGAGCTGCCAAGCAGCTGCCCTCTTACTGGGGGCACTAACTACGAGCATCGGTATTTGAAAAGCTGTATGTTACTAAAGAAATACACAGTAATTAGGTTTTTTTAAATAAATGAAAACTTAAAAATATTTGTAAGTGCATCAGCAATCAGATATAATCAAAGTTTGAGATATTTTTTCAAGAGAGATATTTTCTTAACAGAAAGAAATTTCAGAGCTTCCAAGACCAGAAACTTAAAATAAGTAAAGAAGACAGTAAAATTCTTAAAAAGGCCCGGAAAGATGGATTTTTGCATGAAACACTTCTGGACAGGTATGTATATTTTTACTTATTTCCAACTATGATTAAATACTCAGTAGAAGTGGTGAATATAAAACCCAATGTTCTTTTTCTTTTTATCCTCAAGGATATTTTTCCATTGATTTTTAGAGAGAGTGGAAAGGAGAGAGAAAGAAAGAGAGAAATATCGATGTGAGAGACACATCGATTGGTTGCCTCCTGCATGAGCCCCGACTAGGGCCCCTACAACTGAGGTACGTGCCCTTGACCAGAATTGAACCCGGGACCCTTCGGACCACAGGCCGATACTCTATCCACTGAGCCAAACTGTATAGGGCCCAATGTTCTTTTTGAATTACTTGTAGTTTTCAAATATTTACCTTTATTTCTAATTTGTGAACATGGTAATATTACCTAAAAAGGACATCGTAAGTCTGGGAAAAGATCACCAAGAAAAACTGTCTAAATATAGTCAGATTCCAAGTACTTATATATTTTGTTGTAAGAAATTCAGATTTCACTGAAATTACATCATAAATTTATTTACAACATCTTTTTATAACTGTTAGAAGAAGGCTAGAAAGAAGTCATTTGATTCATTTCAAAATTCAGTTAGTTCTATTAGAGTGACACAGGTTCCTAAAAGTGAGATAAATATAGGTCAGTTTAAAAATTACTAAGTATAAAATTAAATTAGTGAAATTGAAGCACTTTTATTAAGTCAAATTCAGAAGTGTGCAGGATCTTTATCATAGCACGTTATTGATATTTATTACTGTTCCTATTTAAGTAATACTCTGGATTTACAACATTAAAAACTGAGTAGAGAGGTTAAACTTTGAGCTTAATAACTAAAATCAAAGAAGTGCCAGATTAAAGAAGAATTTGCTAATATGCCACTCATTCAAGTCCAGTGTTGCAAAATTAGTCTTAAGACATTTCTTCGTATTACTTGATAAAAAAAAAAAAAGTGTATTTCCTGCTAACTAGTTGATCAAGTTATTAACTGAAGTCAGTAAATGATGAAAGAATTTTTCCCAGCTAAGAAAATTAGCATCTAGTTTCTAGTTCTAAGGAAATTAAGAACGAGGTATAAAAATAGTCAGGTTATGGACTCAGAAGAAATAGAATAAGGTTTATAGCCTATGTCCTGTAACTTTTATCACTTAACAAAATCACTACATTGTTAAATAGAAGTTTGGGCATGCTTAAAATCAGAGGTAATTAAAATTGCTCATGTGGACTGAAAAAGCCCTTAGGCACATTTGCTAAACATGAGGAAAAGACTTTTGTAAGAATAGAATCCATTTAGTATGAAACACTAGAAGCCCGGTGCACGAATTTGTGCACCAGTGGGATCCCTCAGCCTGGGATCGGGCAGATCCCAGGTTCTCCAACATCTCCCAAGGGGTCCCAGATTGCTAGAGGGTGCAGGCCGGGACCCCCACCGGTGCACAATCAGGGCTAGGGAGGGACGCGGGAAGGTGGCCAGCTGGGGAGGGACCACGGGAGGGCTCCAGGTCATGTCTGACCTGTCTTGCTCAGTCCTGATCAGCCGGACCCCAACAGCAAGCTAACCTCCCAATCGGAGCATCTACCCCCTGGTGGTCAGTGCATGTCATAGTAAGTGGTTGAGCAGCCTTAGCATATCATTAGCATGTTACACTTTGATTGGTTGAACAGCCCACCTGATGACCGGACACTTATTAGGCTTTTATTATATAGAATAGGATAAAATTGAAAAGTAAAATTTTAATTAAAATATTTTAATATAAACAGTGTGGTAATATAATAACCAAAATTGAGAACACAGTTTCTAAGCATAGGTTTATATTTAGTAGCAGTTGACTATATATTGAATGTTTTACATTGTTTAATTTTTATTATTTGTCTTTTTAAACAGGAGAGCCAAATTGAAAGCTGATAGATACTGCAAATGACCAGGGTTTTTATCTCTGTCTTTTGTTTGTTTTTCTGAATAAAATAATCAGTGGAAGTGTTTTTATAGAGTTCTTGGGTTGTTGTGAAATTATTGCTAAACTAGTAGCAACTTTAACCAAGTTCAGCTGAGCTTCTCCGTGGATGTCCTTTTTAGTTCACTGCAAGGTTTCACATGGAAATGAAACTTGGAGTCCACGGCTAACGCGCCACAGAGTTGTGTTCTTTTCTGATTTCCTGTCATAAAGCAGGGGTGCTGCTCTGTGAAGCTGATGTTTCTCGTGCAGCTCGTGGGGTCTGTCTTACTGCTTTACGCTTATTGCTTACCCTACGTGACCTGATGCAGTACATGCTACTAGGTACTGCCAGGGCTGACCAGCAGCCCCTGAGCCACGCGTGAATGGTTACTCTGACGCATGTTTGTGTGAAAGAGAGAGCTAAGGGACTGCTTGGCTTGAGAAACCAAACCTCCCCATTCGCCTGCCTCCTCAGGCTTTATAAAATTAACTATTAGGTACTATCAGTAGGGTAAGCATCCTTGAGAAGACACATGCATCTGCAGGGTCCATTAAGCAAGGACATCTGAAGACTAAGCACAACAATTCCAGTGAACACCTGGGGGCTCAGATTTGTTTGGAAAAGTCAAGGCAGGGGTGGCCACCTTCAGCCAACTCCTGTCCTGTGCCTTCCCACAGGGAACCTTTAAAGGGAAGTTGGAAAGTACCAGTCCCATCAGCCAGCAAGGCTTTGATTCTACCTCTTCAGTGTTGCCCAAGTCACACACAAGCCAAACACATTGTCCAAACAAGGGGGGCTGGGCAGAGAGAAGTCAGGCATCAGGCCACAGAATGGGAACAGGAAACTTTACAGAAGAGCAAGTAGGCTCAGGACAGAAGATAAAAGTAAAATTGAAGAAAGCCCCTATTTTGGACAGTTTAGCCACAGGATATCTGTGCAGTGCTTTCCTCTCACTTGTGAGATGGGAGGGGAGCTTGCCTGTCTTTTCGAGCTTCTGAACAGTGTTCCAGATGTCATCTAACCCAGGTTGTGTATCGGGCCTGGACGTCCCTGGAAATTCTGCTTCAGAAGCAGTGACGTTTCTGGGTATTGAAGTTCTTCGGGAACGGTGACGCTGAGATGAGCTTGGCGTGCAGGATTAAGTTTAGAGAAGCAGAGGGCTATTGCTCGCTCAGGTGAGTAGCAAAGCCCCCAAAGCCCTCATGGCTTTTATTTAGGGAGTACAGCAAACAACAATGGAGTACAGCAAGTAACAATGATTAAAAAGCACGCTTGTGAGGTCATCAGAGCTAAGTTATACATTACACTATTAATTTCCTGTTATACAAGGACTCTTTCCACCTGCAGCAGTGCACCCTCCCTTGAACTTTCCATGTCCTTACGGACTATCACCTCAAGGAAAGTTCTGCCTCTAAACAATAAGTCTTGTTTGCAAGACTTTGTTCTGACGTGGCCCGCTTGCAGGCTCCCGTCTTTTCTTGGCAGAACATCCTCTTCTAGTTAACTTCTCATTCCACTTGTCCAGCTACACTGGGTGTTCACAATTCCACGTTGATGCCCGTGCACAGCCGGGATTGCGACCTGGCCGAAGCTGCCATACCTGCCTGGTTCTCGGCCTTTGTATTTACGTCACCAGCTGTGGTTGCAAGGCCTTCTTCATCAAGGTAGCTGAGCTGCCAGTATCACCCTTAGGAAGGAGCTCTCACCGTAGATGAGCCAGAACTGGGCATTCCCGTTCCAATAGCTAGACATTCCCCAGCTGTGTTCTCTCTTCTGACCCTCTGATGGGGAGCATGCTTGCTACGCTGATCCTCCAAAGCAGTGGTTCTCGACCAGGGGGTGCATTGTCTCCCGGGGGACATTTTGCAACATTCGGAGATAGTTTTGGTTGTCGCACTAAGAGAAGAGGTGCTACTAGCAACTAGAGGGTTTGAGACCAGGGATGCAGCTAAACATCCCACATGCACAGGACAGCAGCCACCACAACAAAGAGTTAGTTATCCACCCCAAAATGCCAGTCATGCCAAAGTTGTGAGACTTTTAGTCTCTTCTCTACTTTTGACAGATCTCTGACCCCTTAAAACACTAGTTCACATTTCTATGCGTAAGAATCACTTAGGGTACCTATAGATTTCCAAGGCCCATCCTTAGAGATAGCAAGTTTAGGTTTGGGCCCCAAAACTGACATTTTAATAAGCACTCCTGGTAATTCTAAAGCAACACTACCCTGAAGAAACGAAGTCTCCTCTCTGGCAGCAGCTTGGTCCCTGAGACGGTCTGCCGCTGATGGATTTCCCTGGAACAAACATCTGTCTGAATTTCTGAGTATAGTGATTCCCGGGTCCATTGTCACAGGGCTCACCCAGTTCCTGCCCCATTCCAGGTGGCAGAACTATTACAGAATGAATTCCTGGCAACTAGGAAGATACATGTTTAAAAAATGCATTGCCCCCCTCACCCTGCTCGTGTGGCTCAGTGGTCGAGTGTCAGGGTTGTGGGCTCAAACCCAGAGTGGGGCATGCAGGAGGCCACCGATCAATGATTCTCATCATTGATGTTTCTATCTTCCTCTCCCTTACTCTCTGAAGTCAATAAAAATATATTTTTAAAAAAATATATGCATAGCCTGCCCTCATGGACTTTACTCATGAGCTAGTAAAGGAGGACAAATGAATAAAAAAGTCGGTGACAGATAAATGTTCCTTCCCAGTTCCCATCACTGCACTTCCTACAAACCCTCGTTTACAGCACGGAGGTCAGTCTTGGGAGAGTGGCCGGGGTCAAGAATGAATGCATCTAAACTGTCACACGGCCCACATTTTTCCATCTTATGCATGAGGAAATAAGGAGAAATTTTGTTTAAAGCACTTGAAATCTGGCCAAGCTTTTTCCTGATTTACCTGTCTACCAATCTTATCTAAAAGAAGGTCATACAGAGAAAGACAAATATCGCATGATTTCACTTGCATGTGGTATCTAAAACACAAAGCAAACAGATCATAGATACAGAGAACAGGCTGGTGGTTGCCAGAGGGAACAGGGGAGGGAGGACAGGTGAAATGGGTGAAGGGTAATAAAAGGTACAAAATTCCAGTTATAAATAAGTCACAAGGATGTAATGTACAGTACAAGGAATACAGTAAAAAATATAATAACTTCATATGGTGACATGGTAACTGCACATCATGGTGATCATTTTGTAATGTATAAAAATAATAGAATCACTATGCTGTACACCTGAAACTAATGAAATATTGTCTGTCAACTATAATTATTTAAAAGGTTATCTACAATAAAAGCACTAACCAAAGAAAAAGACAAGTATCACATGATCTCACTCATATGTGGAATCTAAAGGGCAAAATAAACTGATGAACAAAATAGATCCAGAGACATAGAAGCATGGAATAGACAGATGAATCTCAGAGGGATTGTGGTGGTTGGTGGATGGGTGGGTGGGTGGGTGGATGGGAAGAGATTAGCCAAAGAATTTATATGACTTAAGTTTATATGGCATAATCCATGACACATAGTGTGATAAAGGCCTGGGTCCGGGGGAGGAGGGAGTGGGGAGCAGGCCAAAAGGTGTCCATGGAGGGACAAAGAGTGCATCTGTATAACTTCCAACAATAAAGAGAATTTTTAAATCCTTGTCCACGAACTCCAACATCCGGGTCATCTGGGGATCGTTCTCCACTGATTGCCTTTTCTTTTGAGTATGTCTCTTCATATGTCTGGTAATTAGACTGTATTCTGGACATTATAAATAATGCATTATAGAAACAGTGGACTCTGTTTTGTTCCTCTGAATAATTGTCTGTTTGTGTAACAGGCAGTTAACTTGGTTGAGCTCACGCTCTAAATCCTGTCTCCCCTACGGTGGGCAAAAGGAAATCTCTACACAGCTCTCTGTTTAGGCCGAGCTGCTTGGAGTCCGCCCCAAGGCTGTGTGGTTCAGAGATCAGCAGGAGATTGGGGCAGTGTGGCCGCCCTCTAGGTCTCCCCTTTTCAGCAATTCCTCCTCCCTTTCCAGGTTCTTTGGTCACTCTGAACTCTGTCCTCCGATCCCTCCGCTAGTAAAACTTGAGGTTTCCATGAGTTTTAATTACTCTCAGTGGCACTGCCTGGGGGTCTGTCCTAAGTTGAAAAGAGTTAAGAATATGATTCCCTTCTCACCAGAGTGAACTCCCCTCCAGTTTCTGCATGCTTTGGTCACGCTCCATTACCTTTAGATAATATTTAATATTTGTCCAAAGTATAACTGTTTGTGTGTGTCAAAGGTTAGTGTAGTAAAAACTACTCCATGACTGGCTTAAACTCTGATATCAAGGACTTGCCTGGGCTTTTCCAGGTACAAATACCCTCACACCAGGTAACCCAGCACCCACCCCAACATGATGGAGTTCCTGCGTCAGGCCCAGGGTAGACACTAATCCGCCCACGGCTTCAACTCCCTGTTGCAGAAATTACGTTTACCCAGTCATTCTAAACACTGATTGCACAGAAGAACATATTAAAATACGCTGGCTTAATTCCAGATTGTATTCACCAAGTTATGATGACAGGATAGTTTTCTTAACTGAGACGGGAAATCATAACTGACTTTCTTTTCACGATGTTATTATTTTACGTTTTTATCCTAATCAAGACTATTAGCCTGAGAGGCTTAATGCAGGTAAAGTCCATTAACATATTTTTGGGCTCACACATATTGAAATCCATTTCATTTCATGAGAAGATTAGAAACCAAAAGAATAACTCCATAAAAGAAGAAATTTCATTTCCTCTTTTCTCACCATCTATTCGTTCAGAAATTTTTTAAAAGTGCACATTTCATGAAAGGAACTTGATGGCGTTAAGGCAGGTTTTGCTTTTTGGCATTTCTGTGTTCTCTATGTCAGGGTGATCTCTGCCACTATGAGTGTATTTCTGTTTAACTGTATGGCACTAGGGCCCTTTAACTATTACTGAGGCTTCTTTTCTTTGAAGGAGAAACAATAGGCTTTCTTTCCGGTTAGCCGTGCGTTTCAATACTGCCTTTGTGTTTCTCGAAGAATACATATTCTTTTCAGAGCGTACAGCGAGGACTTATAAATCGAAATTTGCAGGGGTTTTCCTTGCAGCGTTTGACGACCTAACGAGGTTCTGGAATCCTGTGCCAAGTGCTGCTGGGAGAGAGCAGGGTGCAGTGCTCTTGCTGGTGTTTATTCTTCTCTCATGGTTTCCTCATTCCGGTCCTCAGAACAAGTGGAACTGTAAGGAAGAGAAGCAAGTAAACAAAGCAGATCTCTTCATTCCTTTAGGAAGGTGGGGACTGAAGAAAGACTCCACAGTCAGGAATCAAGTCATAAGTCCTGACCTTCGCTCCGAACTGCACCTGCCACAGACGTGGGCCATGCACAGCGGCAGTCACACCGGAGGAAACAGGCAAAGCCTTCCGCTTCCACTGTCTTCTCTCTTCTTCTGTATGATTCCCTCGTGCCTGCCTCACAAGATTAGTCCCTGTTTTCTTCTCCTGCTCCTAAATATATTCCTTCAAGCCATTTCCCGCCCCCCCCCCTTTTTTGTTTTGTTTTGTTTGTTTTTGTTTCTGTTTTACTGATACCAGAAAAAACACACAGGGATCTACCTGGAGAACCGAGAGAGTAGTTTAGCCAGCCACTCGCACTCATTCAGGCTGAGGCTACCTGTGGTCTAAAGGGTGGTGGCCTGCGTTGGAAACGACCCGTGGACCTCAGACCGGCCTCGGCTGTTCAACGGTTCCTCGGCCCCCGGGCCCTTGTGTAGATCAGCGTTAAAGCACAGCAGCTGGACTGTGGGAATGTATCCCTTCCTTTTGTTGTTTAGGAAAATAACTTCCCCGGTTGCCTACAGAATCAGAACCTTCCTGCACGCTGCCCTGTTCCTCATTTTTTAACCTCAAAATCCTCTCTAGAAGGCCTTCAACATGTCCCATCACTGCCTGAACCTCTGCCACCTCTGCGCCCATCATCACCCACTGTCCTTTACCGGTTCCCTTTGCCGCCATAACCTCACGCCACTCCTCTGGGCTCTTTCACACCCCGGAGAAATGGGCGAAGACTTAAGCACTTAGCAGAAGGGTAAACGAAAATTTCCAATAAACAAACTTCCTCTCGACCCTCCCATGAAAATGCCCCTTCTGATTTTACGCCTGCTGAGTTCAGCTCTCATCCTGGTGTGACTGGCACTGGAGGATCCCACACCATGGCTCCAGGTCCCGGCTTGAAACTCCCCCTGACCCACCCACCCAGGCCTGGAGCACCTAGTCCCCACCCATGGCCACTGCAGTTCTGCACCGCTCGCCATCATGCCTGGGCCCACCTGAGACCTGGCTCACTGAGCTCCTGTCCTCCGTGCCATTGACTTCAGCACCCACACCGTTGTGACCTTACATTTCTGACTGATGGCTGCCTTCAAAGTCTGTCGCCTCTGTTCCGCTAATCTTTTACTCTACCTTACGTTAACGACAGAGCAGCTGGGTTACACATTTTGCTTTTGCTACACCTTGATTGGCAATCCTCATCGCCAGCTCAGAACGACCCTCTTGGAACATGCTGTCCGCCTTTTACCCATTGCACTTTTCACTGTAAAAACTCTTTTTTTCTTTTTTAATCCTCACCTGAGGATATATTTCCATTTTTTTGAAGAGAGAATGGAAGAGAGACAAAGAGAAATATTGATGTAGGAGAAACCATTGCACTTTTCACTGTAAAATTTTTTTTCTTCTTTTTTACGCCTCACCTGAGGATATATTTCCATTGATTTTTTTTTTTTTTTTTTTTTTTTTAAGAGAGAATGGAAGAGCTGAAACCGGTTTGGCTCAGTGGATAGAGCGTCGACCTGCGGACTGAAAGGTCCCAGGTTCCATTCCGGTCAAGGGCATGTACCTGGGTTGCAGGCACATCCCCAGTAGGAGATGTGCAGGAGGCAGCTGATCGATGTTTCTCTCTCATCGATGTTTCTAACTCTCTATCTCTCTCCCTTCCTCTCTGTAAAAAATCAATAAAATATATTTTAAAAAATAAATAAACATTCATTATAAAAAAAAAGAATGGAAGAGAGACAAAGAGAAATATCGATGTTAGAGAAACACGTCAATTGGTTGCCTCCTGCACACGCCCCTACCAGGGCCCAGGGAGGAGCCTGCAACCTAGGTATTTTCCCTTGACCAGAATCAAACCCTGGACCCTTTGGTCTGCAGGCCAACACTCTGTCCACTGAGCCAAACCAGCTAGGGCCACTGTAAAAGTGTTCAAGTGTACTTTCTCTATCTTAAGCCCTCTGTGTTATTAGATTTAATTTCCTGCAGCCTAGTGTTTTACTTCTAAGCCTAATGAATTATTTTCTTTTTAGTACAGTATATAATTAATAGTTATTGAGTTCATAGAATAAAAATTATTTTACAATCCAATGTTGATATTTTCCTATGCAACAAGCATCTTATCTATAAGAAATCCCACATCTTGCCATGTTCCAAGTGTAATCAGGATCCTGTTTTTTCTCATTAATATTTAAAAAATTGCTGATTGATTTGCTATAAAGTGTAAATAAGAAATGAAAGATGAAAACTCATCTTGCATGTCTGAGGACACATTTACTGCTCTGTCTCCTGCTCCTCCTCCCCGCCCCATTACTGCAACTCGCACGCCGGAGTTGGGGGATGGTGCTGACACATCTACCACTTACTCCATACAGCCACAAACTGAAGACACTGATTGCTCTTTTCTTCTTTCCTGGGATTTCTCCTCTCCTCTCAAACCCAAAGAAGTGGGAAGTTTCACCTTGATTTTATAAAACCAGCACTTCCTAGTATAGCAAATAAGGAGCCATGAATGGCACTCCTTATTAAAACAACAAAAGAGCCCTAACTGGTTTGGCTCAGTGGACAGAGTGTCAGCCTGCGGACTGAGGAGTCCTGGGTTCGATTCCCGGACGTGTACCTTGGTTGCGGGCACATCCCCAGCGGGAGGTGTGCAGGAGGTAGCTGATTGATGTTTCTCTCTCATCCATGTTTCTCTCTATCCCTCTCCTTTCCTCTCTGTAAAAAAAAAAAAAAAATCAGTAAAATATATTTTAAAAAAAGAAATAAAATATCACAGGCAGTTGCAGCTCCTCATAAGCCTTTTAAAAAAAGAAAGAAAGAAAGAAATCAGCATCAAAATGAAAAGGCAACCCACTGTACAGGAGAACATATTTGTCAGTGATGCATCCGATAAGGGGTTAATTTCTAAAATCTATTCAGTACTCCTACAACTCGACAAAAGGAAGACAGACAATCCAATTAAAAAAATGGGTAGAGGACTGAACAGACACTTCTCCAAAGAGGACATACAAATGGCCAAGAGACAAATGAAAAAATGCTCAGTATCACTAATCATCAGACAATGAGGTATCACCTTACACCTGCCAGAATGGCTGCCATCAATAAACCTACACACAGAACTCAGCAGCCCGGGTACAGTATGCAGAAGATACAAATAGTCATATTCATCCAGGGTTGCAATTTCACAGAATGGGCAATGAAAGTGCATCTAATACACTGGCAAGTGAGTGGCTGAAATGATGGACCGCGGAATCTAAGCTGGAGAGGGAAGGGTAGCAAGAAGATTGGGAGACTGACAGGTGGGAAGAAAGCAAATATGCTGCTGAAAGCAGAAAGGCCCAGCAGAGAACTGATGTAATTGAGTGAACAATCTAAAAAGCTAAGAGGTCAATCTAGACTCTAAATGTAGCTGTTCTTGTGTAAGATAGGTGTCTTTCACTGTAGTCCTTCCTTTTTATAAAATCCTTTAAATCAGAACTTGATGACTTACCAAGGTTTTGTGGCCCGTCTACACAGTGGAATTTAGTATAGTGGTTAGGTATACATGTCTTGGAAGCAGGACCTAAGCATCGTTACTTAACCTATGCCTCAGATTTCTCAACCATGAGATGGGGTAATAACAGCACTTACTTCATATTCACATGGAAAATGCATATTGGTTTCCAAACACCTGACTTAAAAACATTTAGAAAATAGGGAGGCGGGGGCAGGGGCGGGGCGGGGGCAGGGGCGGGCTAGAAGAGGTCAATGGGGGGAAAATGGGGACATATGTAATACTTTCAACAATAAAGATTTTTTTAAAACTTTTGGAAAACAATCCATTTGTAATTTGGTGATACCTTATATTATTTTAAACACCTTTTGGTATGTGATGTTAGTGCAGTTCCTTTAGTTGTTTTATGTATTCAAAAGTATTTGTTATTGAGTGCTATTATGTGCCAGACATTGTTCCAGGTGCTAACACAAAGTAGCAGACAAAACAAAATCCCTGCCCTGGGGAGCGTACATTCTAGTCAAAAGAGGCCAGATGCTAAACAAATGAAAAAGTAAGTATGTGTGGGCCAGATGGTGACGATGACTGGAGTCAGGTCCAGTGGGGAAAGGAGGGTGAGGAGGACCTGTGGAGCCTTATGTGACATATGATGCTGTGGGAAGGCGACCAGAACAAGGGGCTGCTTGAGCATTTGCCTCGGCCACGTAGGTATATGTGGGAGGGAACATTGCAGAGAGGGAGCACTAAGTACAAAGCTCCTCAGGTAGAACATACTTGACATGTTTCAAGTCCATGTGGAAGACCAGTGTGGCCAAGCTTGATGAGAAAAGGTGGAGCTGGTAGGATATGAGATCAGAGAAGTACCAGGAGGCTAGCCAGATGCTGGGTGACCTTGTAAGTCATGTAAGATCACTGACTTTCATTCACTGGAGGATTCTGAGGAGAAGAGTGACATGATCTGATTTATGTGGACTGTAGATAGGGGATGGGAAAAGGCAGGGGAACCAATTATGAGTTTATTGCAATGATCCAGAGGAGAATCGCTTGAACCTATGCAGAAGCAGAAGCAGAAGCGGTGAGAAGTGGCTGGATTCTGCTATAATATGTTTTGAAGGTAGAGCCAAAAGGATTTACTAGTGTGCTGGGTGTGTGGTAAGAAAGAAGAGTCAAAGGTGACTGTAAGATCTGGCCTAAAGCAAACTAGAAAATGAGGTAGGGAAGATTGAGAAAGCAACAATGTGGATTGGGACACAGAGAAAAGAGAGAAGAGAGTTCGTTTTTAGACATGATAAGTTTAAGATGCCTATGAGATATCCACAGTAGGTGATGTCGAGAAGACAGCTAGATAGAAGAGTCTGAGTTCAGGGAACAGATCTGTGCTGGGGACATAGATTGAAGAGTCATCAATATAACGAAGGCATTAAAGTCATCAGATTGGATGAGATCACATAAGGGGTGAGCATAGGTAAAGAAAAATAAGGCATCTGAAGACTGAGCCCAGGGCCACCCCTACAGACAGAGGTCAGCTGATCAGGTGAAACCAACCGAGGTTTTTCAAGAGGTAGCCAGTAAGGAAGAGAAGAATCAACAGAAAATGGTATTCCAAATAAAAATGAAGTGCTCCAATATCTACGATACAATTGTGGAATTGGGTAGTAAGATAAAATAGAGGCCAAGAACATTGCAAGAGAAGAGGTCCAGAAACCAGAATATTGGAAGGATTGTCTCTGTGGACATTTTAATCACCAAGAATGCTGACAAGAGAAAATTAAAACATAAAAATAAAAAAAAATGTTGACGGGAATCATATTAGAAACAGTGACAGTGAGTCAGGTGTGAAAAACTAGAGGCCCAATGCACAAAATTCATGCAAGGGGCTTGGCCCTCATAGCCCCGAAGCCCCAGCTTCAGCTGTAAGGACTGTCGTTCTGCTGTTTGGTCTAATTAGCATATTAGCTCTTTATTATATAGGATATGTCTGAATTGTGGTCAGGCTCTCTCTCTCTCTCTCTCTCTCTCTCTCTCTCTCTATATATATATATATATATATCCTTTCTAATAAAAGAGAAAGATGGTCATTGGCGTACGACCGCTACCCTTCCCATTGGCTAATCAGGGAGATATGCAAATTAACTGCCAGCCAAGATGGCGGCCGGCAGCCAGGCAGCTGATGCGAACAGGGAGGCTTGCTTGCTTCAGTGACGGAGGACTCCAATGTTCCCCGCCTGACTTGCCGGCCTCTCAGCTGCAACTCTAAGCAACTATGTTGCAAATATAGAAGCTAAAAAAACCCCAGAAACCTGCTTTACTCAGCCGGGCTTCAGCCAGCCAGACCGCAACATTGTATCAAATACAGACGGTAAACAAAGGCCAGAAACCTGTTTTCAGCAGCCGAGGCCTCAGAGCTAAAGCTGGCCCAGAATAAAGAAAAAAAGGAGCAGTTGGGAGCTTCAGTCACCCGTCAGCCTGAAAACGGCCCTCAGCCCCTCAGCCAGACTGGCCAGGCACCCCAGTGAGGACTCCCACCCTGATCCAGGACACCCTTCAGGGCAAACCAGCCAGCCCCCACCCGTGCACCAGGCCTCTATTCTATATAGTAAAAGGGTAATATGCCTCCCGGCACCAGGATCAGCATGACAGGGGGCAGCGCCCAAACCCCCTGATCGCCCTGCGGCTCTGTGTGTGACAGGGTGCAGCGCCCTAACCCCCTGATTGGCCCTGCTCTGTGTGTGACAGGGTGCAGCGCTCCAACCCCCTGATCGGCCCTGCTCTGTGGGTGATAGAGGGCAGCGCCCCAACCCCCCCACCCCCCACGGGCCCTGCTCTGTGACAGGGTAGAGCCATAACCTCTCCATCAGCCCTGCCCTGAGTATGACAGTGGTGGCGCCCCAACCCCCTGATCGGCCCTGCTCTGTGGGTGATAGAGGGCGGTGCCCAACCCCCTGATCTGCCCTGCTCTGTGTGTGACAGG